CTGCTCCTCTGTCCAGGTTCCTGGCTTTTTATCCCCTTTCTCCTGCTCTTCCGGCCTGCTACTCTGGGCAGGCCTGAGTTGCCTCTCCTCACCTAATCCCTTCTGCTGACTGCTCTTATCTCTGGCCTCCTGGCTTTTAATCCCCTTTCTCCTGCTCTTCCCGCTTGCTACTTCGGGCATCCCTGAGTTGTCTCTCTTCACCTGTAACCCTGGGGCTGACAAATGTATAGATAAAGATATAGAAAATACATAATATTTTGTTAATAGTGTTTCCTTCATTATTAAAAAAAAAAAAAATTAAATAATGTGTTTGTTTATGTGTATTGCCTATGTGTTTTTTTTTTTTTTAAAGAAAAAATTCTGGAAGTTAAAACCACGAAATATGATTATTGGTGATTTTGCATCACTTTTTAAGATTTTCTGTTTTTCCATGCTATGAAGTATTCTTTTATAATCAGCATGATTATATAAATATAACATTTAAAAATGATACTGTGTTAGGCCTCTGATGTATCCTGCCATCTTATCTTCTTCATCATGACACCAGGAAGGGACAGCTGAAAATTTGAACTGGTAAAAAATTATTCTGTAAAGGAATTCCTTACTCCATCTAAAACCTTGCAGCTATCATTGGTTGCCTTCTTGGTTTCCTTTCAGGCGTCCTGCTGACACTGAAGAAGAATCCCTTTTGTTTGTCTGGTCAGAAGGAGTCCTTAAATTTACCGATACCTCACATACTCTGAAGCCTTTCACACTCTACGAATACCGGGTGAGAGCCCAGAACTCCAGGGACTCAGTGGACAGTCTGTGGTCATCAGTACAGACACTGGAAGCTCCACCTCAAGATCTGCCTGCTCCTTGGGCTCAAGCCACCAGTGCTCATTCAGTTCTGCTGAATTGGACGAAACCGGAATCTCCCAATGGCATTATTACCCAGTACCATGTGATCTACCAAGAGAGACCAGATGATCCAACATTTAATGTCTCTATCATGCATGCTTTCACAGTGATGGTAAGAATTTATATCATTTGGTTATTATGTTGAAATTCATCTTCTTGTCATTTTTCTTCACTTAGGGTTTAAATATATGAAAGATTTTCATAAGTGGATAGAAGCACTGTGGTTATATAGATATGTTACTGCACTGAATATAAGGAATATTAGAGACCATTTTGGAGACCACAAATAGTTTGTATTACCTCAAGAAAATAACTGAATTTTTCAGCTTGAATTCTGTGTTTGTTAAATAGGAGTAACTAAATGTGTCCCTCTATACTTCCATAGTGATACTGCCTCAAAAACCCAAGGAGGGGTTGCTGTGTGTCATATCCGACTCGATGGCAATGAGTTTTGAGTTTATACCATGTAGGGATGAAGTTTGGAAAAAATTAGACAAAATAGTTCAATTTTCCAACTATCACTGATCCTATGATATATACATATGGGAAAAGTCACATATACTATAACTTAGCGATGATTTTTCTAGGCTGGCCCCGCTGGCTGTTAACACAACTTACTTCAGTTCACCAGGTATCCTCTGAGCACTTCTTTTTGCTTGGTATGGCCGGATGTTCCATCAAAGATATAGTAGCAGAATCACTCCTGCCTTGGGAAGCTTTCTCTTTTATAATATCCCAGAGCTTAAAATTGTGCATCATAAAAATATTGTTGTTGTTGTTGTTTGCCATCGAGTTGGACCCTACTCATAGCGACCCTTCCTTGGGTTTCGGAGGCAGTATCACTACGGAAGTAGATTGCTCAACCTTCCTTCCAGGGAGTGGCTGGTGAGTTTGAACTGCCAGCCTTCTGGTTAGCAGTCAAGTGCCTTAAGCACTATGCTACCAGAGCTATTAGAGCAGTAATATGTTTCAACTTATAATGTTCACCATGCTGGATTCAGATTCCAAACTCCACCACATACTAGCTATAATCCACAATGAAAGAGAGAATAAAATTATATACCAAAATGTATTAGGCAAGAAACACTCTGAAGGGTCAGCAGGAAATCCTAATACTGAAGATTATTTTCAAAGTTCAAACTATATTTCTGTTTTTCAAGTTTAGGTAGCCCAATATACAGGAAGATTACAACATCTATCACAATATCTAAATAGTGGGCAAATTTCTTTTTAATAGGACTCCAAAAAAATCTTCTAAAGGAATAGTTTGACTTAAAAGAATGTTTTCTGCTATCCTTATAGTAAATTTTATTATATGATTGAAAAATAAGTAACATGTAAACAAAGGGATAATAATAAGAGAATTTCAAATTTAATTTATTTCAGAATTTATACTTTTATTGTTTGATATCTAATAATCTTTATGTATCACAGTCTTGCATATCACATCTTCTAAATCTTTTATTATAAACATTAGAAGCAATGTTGTTAAGTGCAAAAGGTCTTTTTCAGGTATATGAGATTCATAAGGAAACAAGTTACTTCTCACTATATCCTTGGAACTCATGTCCTAAACTTCAACAGTGAAAGCAGCATTTCTATGAAAATACTGAAGCAGTCTCGACAATACCTTCCTGCTTTAATTAATATATGTTTTTCTTGAAGGTGTCAGTATTACAATGACTAAACTTTGGATCTTTTAAAATATGGCTTTCAGTAATATGTAAGTCTAATTATTTAATCTCCCACATCATTTCTATTGGAATTCCCTTGTGAGATACCATATATGTCATCCCTGAATAACCAATTCCATTCTGCAACACAAGACTTAAAGAATCCAATGAACCCCTGAGTTCTATCTGCTAGACTCTATTTTTATCACCAAAAAAAAAAGTTCCAGAAAAAGAAGAAAGCCTATGGCCCTAAGCTTTAAGCTGCCCAGGGGCCCCTTCATATGGGGTCTGCCTCAATATAGCCTCCATTATGACTGTCTGGGAATTCTGCACTCTTTTACTGCAAGATTAATACTTGCAGTGCTAAATAGAATAGTCAGAATAATCAAGAAACAATAATATTTCTGCATCCCATTTTTTAATATGTATGTGTGTGCTGAAAGTGCCCTCACCCCAAAATCAGGATCTTTGGCCCTGAAAATCGTAAAATAAGACTTCACTGAGTCCATAGGGAAAAGTCCCAGTTGAGCTTTAGAAGCAATCAGGTATATCAACTACAAATCAGTCGGGATCAGTGGTCAGACATTCTGGTCGTTAAGCCAAGTTTCCAAGGTAACAGGTCATCATGACATCTTTGAAAGAGATCATCTAGAAAATACACTATTGTCTCTGAGCTTTATCTGTTGCTATATTCCCAAGACTGTGTTCAACCCTTTCTTATTAAAGATATATAAAAAAGGATGTTCTACTACTTATTTCCAATATTCTAAAGTCCTTGCCATCAGAGAAGAATGTTCCTTTTATCTTAGCCAAGTCCCCCTTCCCATAATTTAAGTCTGTCACTTTCCGTTCTGAACAACATAACCTCTATCTACTAGTTCAATGGGCCTACTAATTTAACATAACCTCTATCTACTAGTTCAATGAGCCTAGTTCAATGGGCCTTCAGGCTCAAGAAAAATTATTGATAACTCAATCCAATTTGGCAAATAGTCATTGAAGGCTATATTCAATACCTCAGTATTCAATACTACACTCAACTGTATTGTTGAAGTCAGTCAGGAGACTGGGCCATTGGGCAAAGTGGGAGACTACAGGCAAAGATTCAGGCACAGGGTATTGGTGCTGGACACTTGAGGTTTCTGAGTGCCTTTGGTTCTGCTGCTCATGTTTAGATGACTCCTGATTTAAATCATTCTTCAAGTGCCTTTCTGGCTTTATGTATTGTTTCTTTTATTCCTGAACCAGCTAAACATTTTTTACTGGCTCCCTCCCCTTTCTGTGTCTGCCCTAGGCAGTTTTTCAAGTTTTTGTTTCATTTTCTGCTTTGGCTGAAATTTCTCAGAGCAAAGGAACCACATTTGCCATTAATGAGGTCCATCCCCACAATTGAAGTGTTGCAATTCAATCCACAGGCTTGCGAGAGGTATCGCTAATGCCTCTCATTTAGTCTCTTGTTTATTGAGATTCCATCTCAGCAAGAGGGGCACCAATAACTTGCCCATAGTGGTGGTGCCATCATTAGCTGGTCCCAGTGTCCTCTCAGAATTGTTTACAGACAGGTGGATATTGCTGGGAGAGCCACATAAAACAGGTGCAATGGAGGCATGAATCCTGCTGGTGGTGGCAGTGGATGGAGAACTGGCAGTGGGGGCCCTCCGTAGGGGTGGGGAACATATGTGTTGGCAGGAGCAGCAGCAGCAGCAGAGGCAGCAGGAGAGGAGAAATGGAAAGAGTGTGGGTTTTAATGCCTCAACAGCTTTTCTCCCAACTTCATGAAAAGTTTCATCTTCATTTGTGTCTAAGTAGGTCCTCCCAAGGGGGCAGAAGAAGTATTTAGATTCTTAGGGTCTCCTTAGACCAACAGTCTTCACTGTTGTAAACAACCTTAAAGTGGAAGTCCTTAAACTCTCTTCCCAATTATATCCATGATAAATTGTGCAGTGTCAGGAGAGAAACTGTATTTAGCCTTCTTTGGCATGCAAGAGTTCCATGGTGGTATTTACAGGGAACACTCCTGGCGAGGTTGGCGTTACTGCTGCCACCATTCAGGGTTTGTTTGCTTCCTTTCATTGGCACCTGTGATAGCACTGGCAGAAAGAACTTGGGATTTAAAGGCAAAGGTGGTTTACCTGTTAGTGTGTGCTCTAAGTATATCCCTGCGTACCCCACAGGGTTACGAAACATCAAGCCCAGATCACACATTTGCCCAGTACCCTGAAAGATAGATGGTACTTCACTCTGTGTGCAGATTCAAGCATAAGGTACTGAGTGGGTAGGCAAATTGCATGGGTCACTAAAAATTGGCTTCCAATCTGGAAATAAAATCCATAATGACAAATTCTAGTTTCTAGATTCTAGTTATCAAATTCCCCTTCCCAAAGTCAAGAAGGAAGTATTTAAAATTCTTCATGTGGCTGTCTCAAATCTTGTTACCATTAAATAAATGTGTGGCAAAAGATAAAAAATTATATACTTCATAGTCACTACATTACAGAGAATTTATGAGTAATCAATGATTCATTTTTCATACCATTTTCATACTTATTAGGTACAATATAAAACATTTTTGCTCTTCACATTGATCTTGATCTTAAATTAGTTGTAGCTCTATTTGATATTTTTTAGATTTTTTTCCACAGATTTACTTATAAGATAACATAAATGTTCTGGGAGATATAGCTGTCTAAAGTGGCTCCTTTGGTGACTATCTTTTAACCTGATTTAACTTATTACCAAAGAAAATTTGGTAACTGTGTCAAAAATATGTCTAGGTAAATGTCACATGAATCAATGATTACTCATTGATATAATTCATTTGTTTATTGTAATGATGTATTTAGTTTGACATTAACTTTTCATTTACTAGCCTTGTTATCATTATGCCTTCTTTCCTCGGAAACCCAAGGAGGGGTTGCTATGAGTCGGATCTGGAACATAACCACAGCAACAACAACAACAGGTCTCTGGCACTTGAGTGCTAGCCAGAAAGCTGTCGGTTCAAATCCACCAGCCACTCCTTGGAAGGAGGGTAGGGCAATCTATTTCTGTAGTGATACCACCTCAGAAACCCAAGGAGGGGTCGCTATGAGTCGGGTCCAACTCAATGACACATAACAACAACAACACAGGTCACAAATATGCATTGGTGATCTACTTTTTCACTTGATTTGGGGGGGTTATATAAGTCTTCTTGACCATCATATAACTATTTCTTTGAAATAATTTAATTTTTCTGTAACAAATCTCTTTAAAAAATCTTCATCTGGACTCCCTTGAACACCCATGGTAATATCTAGGACAGATGCAGTGGTTTTACAGGTACTTTCAATAGTGAGAACTAGTCCAATGTTAGTAATAAAGAATATTTTCAGGTCATAAAAATAAAAGTCTAGTCTCATTCAAAGGTTGTCTTGATCTAGAGATCTGCAGTAGAGCA